AGGGTTTTTGCTCTATTCAGTTCTTGGGATTGATATATTCTCCTTGCTTTCCTTCTCCTAATCCCTTTGGCTTCCAAGGCAAATCTAGACAGAGGGATCTGGGTAGCCCTCTGTTGTACTAAACCTTTAGTGGCTAAACTGGTCACATTCCTGGAAACATAAATTCTTGAGCCATAAGAAAAGCAAGTAATCACCGCAATAGTTCTGTAGTCTCAGGGATTCTAAAACAAATGTATATGACCGTTCCTGGTAGTAAAACACTCTTGTAGGCAACCAATACACTGAACTGGGAAATAACATCCTATTTACTCAATTTCTGCATTTAAAATCATCAACAGTGAAGCACTAAGAATCACTTCAACTCATGTCCCCAAGATTCAAACTTTAGCCTCATCTTCCCACTCTACATTCCCTTCCTCAGGGATCAGCTCCTCCTATACCTCCTACTGCCTCCTTTGGTCATATGGCCCTTAATGCCTTCTGGGCTCATGCCCAACATCCCCACAGCAGCCACCTGGAGCAGCTGCTGGGACAAAGCCTGAATGAGTTCTCCACCTGAATCTGTTTCCACCTGCCCCAGTACATCAATGTGTCTACTCAAGTTGGGGGACATAGAAGGCCCCTGGTAGGTGTATGCTGTAGGAATATCCAAACGAACGGCATCGGGGGTCCTTATGCTTGCTCAAGCAGCTGAGCATGGTGGGAGTCCATCTCCAGGAACCCTAATGGTATATTTCCATGCCTTCCCTCTTGAAGCATCAAAGCACACTTTCGGGGAGAAATGGAAAGGAGATTAAGGATGTAAAGAATTCTTTCACGATGCTTGGAGGGGTGAGGAAAGATGGCCAGCTGGAAGCAGCAGAGAGAAGTCCAGTTGTTGTTAGAATACCCCATGAGCACAGCTAAGCACAGCTGAATGTGGTTTTTGAAGTCACTGATGAGCCGAATCCCCAGTAGCTCGCCATGATAGTATAGTGGTTAGTACTCTGCGTTGTGAAGTCACTGATGAACACATCTAGTCTGGGAATGGAACTCCAGCTGGTGAGCACAATCAGACGTGACAAGCTTCTCCAGGGCCTACTGAAATCATCCATATTTTCTCACAGACAGGTGGGCATGACAGGCACCCTGGGATAAGAAGCCAAAGGGGCACCTCCTCCCTTTCAGCAGCAACTCACACTGTGCCCAACGTGGGTGCCACCCTCCCAATCACACACAGCTGGGGACGTAAGCAGTCAGCAGGCATAACAGCTTGGTGACTCAAGTCTTCCCGCCAAGAGTCACTCCTTTACCTGCCCAAGAACTTGCACTGAAACAAAAAGCTCACATATTATAGCCAAACCCTATTACAGCTCTTGGTGTTTTGCAGGAAATTCCACAAAATTGAAAGTTACAGAGTTCAACCAGTCTATTTTTGAACACTGGATGAGAGAGCATATAGACGGCTCCATACTTACACTAGTGCTGCAGGACTTTAATGGGAGTCAGGTTTGGGTCCAAACACAATATACACGCTGCTTTCTGTCTAGAGCAAAAACATAAAGAACCATGCTCATTCTGTTTATCCAAAGATTTCCTAACTCCTACCAATGCCAGAAAGTAACCATTATTTTCAAACGTTAACTTCAATTTAGAAAAGGGAACTGTCAAACATGCCGGCACCTGGTTTGTTACCTATGGAGGTCCATCCAAAGGGTCATAGTTCATGTCTATGGAGCTCCTCTCTACACCAGAGATCATTTGGAAAGAAAATGGGAGGGAAACCAAAGCTTACTACATCAGAAAAGCCACTGCCATTGCACAAAGATTTGGAACAGAAGGGAACCTGGGAGGCTCCAACGTTGACAGTGCCTTTTGAGGCTGAAATGTCAGTTACTTGAACAGAGTCTGGAGATTCATTCTGTTGGAATTTACCCCGGTGAGTACTTCCACAGTCCTCTACTGTGGGATCTCTGATTCTCTGCAGTCAAGCCTGTGAGTTCCAGCAGATGCAACAACCCTTAACAAGGACCTGATGTCAAACCCTCATGTAGCTGCTAATTAGCAGATGCATTCTCGGGTCCTCACCAGTGCAATAACAAGCCAAATTCTGCTCTCCCCACTGTGCTAATATGTGGTATATATGTTACCAGCCAACAAGCTGAGCCTCTCATGCTTATATTCAAAATAAGGGGAAAGGTCTCAGGGTACAGTGAAATAAGTTCAATGACAGCAAAGGGAACAAACAAATCCAGAAGGTGGGATACGCCACAGGACACCTGATCCCATTTTTACAGTAAGTCAATGACATGGGGAAAGCAAGGGGGGGGGCAGGGGGGAAGGGTAGCTTGCTCACTCTAGATTAAAAGAATAAAGAGACCAGATGTGATGGGTGGACTTCATGTGGATCCTGATTAAAACCAAATTACTGTCCAAGGGCATTCCTGACCTTCAGGGAAATCTGATTTTGCCTGGGTATTAGGTAATACCAAGGAATCATGGTTTATTTTATTAAGTGAAATAATAGCATTATGGTTTATACAAGAAAACGACCATATTTTCTACAGATATTTACTGAAGGATGTAGGGGTAAAAGGACATGCTGTCTGGGATTTTAAATTTTAAAGCTTTTAAATGAAAAGAGAAATGGAGAATTATATGAAGAAAACTGATGTAAAATCTTGATAATTGTTAAATTTGAGTGCATAAGGGTTCAATGTACTATTCACTTTATTTTTAAATATGCTTAAACTTGTTCATGTTCAAAAATTCATGTGAGGGGCGCCTGGGTGGCTTAGCCGGTTAAGCGGCTGCCTTCAGCTCAGGTCATGATCTCAGGGTCCTGGGATCGAGTCCCACATCGGGCTCCCTGCTCAGCGGGGAGCCTGCTTCTCCCTCTTCCTCTGCCCCTCCCCACAGCTCATGCTCGTGCTCGCTAATAAAAATCTTTAAAAAATTAAATTAAAAAATCAAAAAATAAAAATTCATGTGAAAAAACTGAAGCACTGAGCTAAGAATCTCTGGTAATAAAATGTTTAAAAGTTCCCAAATGTATAATATAGAAAAGAGTTTATAAAAACACAATGCAGGGCACCTGGCTGGTTCAGTTGGAAGAATATGCAACTCTTGATCTCAGGGTTTTGAGTTTGAGCCCCAGGTTCGGTGTGGAGATTACTTAAAAAATAAAATCTTTTAAAAAAAAAAAAAAGGGTTTGCCTTTTCCTCCAAAAAAATTTCTAAGAAGTACCAATTCTGCATCTCCCAGCAGCCACAGAATCTGGGCAGCTCTTGTCTCTCTTCATATGGAGGGTGTACTCCATATCCACAGGGCAAACTGACAGTACCTGTCTCTCCCCGGCCAACAGACCCAGCCAAGAACTGGCTTCAGAGAGCTCAACCTCCTTGCTCTGTTTCCATATGGCTCCTCTGATTGGGGCCAGGGTTGGGTGGGGAGGGGAAGGTTTGCTTGTTGTAACAAACAGATTTTTCTGGTCTCTGAAATGAGGTGGGTTACAAAGATGATCCCTGTTAAATCCTGCTACCATATGCTTCAAGGGATTAACACACCTTCCTCAGACAGATATATATTTATATATATTCTTTAAATCTATATTCTAATCTTATTAATGAGTACATTCCATGGGGTGCCTGGGTGGCTCAGTTGGCTAATCATCTGCCTTTGGTTCGGGTCATGATCTCAGGGTCCTGGGATCCAGCCCCACATCAGGCTCCCTGCTGGGCAGGGACTCTGCCTCTCCCTCTCCCTCTGCCCCTCCCCCTGCTCATGCCCTCCCTCTCTCTCTCTCTCTCAAATAAATAAGTAAAATCTTTTAAAAATTAAATTAAGCTTTCAAATAAATAAATAAAATCTTTTTAAAATTAAATTAAGTAAAAAAAAAAAAATACATTCCTGGGGCACCTGGGTGACTCAGTCGTTGGGCGTCTGCCTTCGGCTCAGATCATGATCCCAGGGTCCTGGGATCGAGCCTCACATCGGGCTCCCTGCTTGGTGGGAAACCTGCTTCTCCCTCTCCCACTTCCCCTGCTTGTGTTCCCTCTCTCGCTGTGTCTCTCTCTGTCAAATAAATAAATAAAATCTTAAAAAAAAAAAATACACTCCTGAGGCACCTGGGTGACTCAGTTGGCTGAGTGTCTGACTCTTGGTTCCGGCTCAGATCATGATCTCATGGTCGTGCAACTGAGCCGCACATCAGGCTCCGCACTCAGTGGAGAGTCTGCTTCAGATTCTTTCTCCCTCTCCCTCTCTAAAATAAATAAATAAAATCTTAAATAATAAATACATTCCTGAGTTCCTTCAAAGAACACTGGTATTATAATTTTTAAGTAATAGATTACTTTATATTCCATTTTACCCCTATTGGTGACACACAGAATACATAGAGCTCATTATGGGATAAAAACTCAGTAGCTTCTAACTTAGTGGCTATAGACCCTCAGTTCAGGAGTCACAAACTACAAACGATTTTAAAGAATGACCCTTAATTCCTCCTAACGCAGAAAGTCAAATAACGATCTGGCAAGTTGGTCACTGTAACAGTGAATCCTTGTATTGCCCCAAGGTGCCAGAGGCCATTGTTAAGACACCTGTCCACTCCTTCAATCCCTACCTGAAAAGGATAAAACAAGACAGCTTACCCATTTTCTGTGACTTTTATAATCTAACTACTTAGCTAAAATAGCAGCTACAGTCCAAATCAACTTCAGCATCGTAAGAATTGTTATAGATGGTTAAAACCATTTACCTACAGAGTTCACCATTCTTCTTCTACCTTCTAATTATTCTCCAACACAGTGCACTGATTGGTAAAGTCACCATCATCACTTGAATTTCTGGGTTATAAAATGTGTGCAAACTCCCCCATCTCAATTTCTGGGCTTTAAGAATGCTATTTCTCTCTTTGAATATTATTAATATAATTCCCTGAGTTGGTTTACTTTATGTAAAAAAAAAAATACAGAAGGAATTTTTTTTCATTAGAAATAATGAAAAATCCTCAGGCTCAAGTTTAAATCATTTTGTAATTAAGTACTAATTGTATAAAAGACTGTTCAAAAGGGGAGCTTAAATTGACAACTGAATTTGTTCATGTGAACTGCCTTCCACATACATGATGGCAAGATGTGCATCAGGTTTGACATGCATTTTGGAAGCAATCACACAGAAGCAGCTGCTTTTTCAATAAACTTGGCCAGTTTCACATCTCTCTTGGTCAGTCCACCACAGTCATGTGACGTTAGGGTTATCTGCACCTAAGAAACACAGAAGCAGTTTTTCAAACCTGGAGCTGCAATTCATGGTTCTCATCTTGGGTGGTTTGGAAATCAATCTATTTTTCAACGTTCACATTTCACAATTGGGGAGATTAAATGATTTACAAAATACTACATTATGAATAAGCACAGCATTTCCAAAACTGAATAAACTCTGGGGGCACAGTCTGCTTCGAGCTGGGCCCAGCAGCCGCCCAGGGATAAAAAGGTCCTCTCATGTGAAGGGCAATTCAGCTGCCAGAATCTGAAATCTTGTCTCTCAAAAAAAAAAAAGAGAGAAAGAGAGAGAGAGAGCCCAAGAGAGACTAAGGGTCCATTTTAACTCCCATTACTTTAATTACACGACTATTTTCAGGCCACTGAGAAAGACCAAGCTATCAAATATAATATCTTAGCAACTACGTTCAGAAAAGCCCATTTCCAAATTAGGGAAGTGGGACGGGTGGGGTGGGGTGGAAGAACAGACTGTGGCTTCTTGAAAAATCAATTAAAAAGTACAAGCAAAATTATGGACAAAGAGAGGCAAGTAGGAAGGAAAAGTTTATCATGGTACCTGCATATTCTGAATTATTCCAATAAATCACAAGTACATCAGGAAATGTTCTCTTTTTTCAAAGAGAATTTTTAAAAACAGAATCACATAGAAATCTAGATGATATTTCAAATGGCATGACCATAAAGGCAAGGACATTTGGGGTGGGGGAGGAGACCATGATTCTTCTTACTGAGTCCCCTTAAAAACTACTTAAAATCTTTTTAGCCTGCTCTTTGTCTTAAGAAGGCCAGTTCCCACTTAGAATGTAGAATTTAAAAAACAGTTATTTTTAAAGCACAGTTCTTGAGCATAATTATTTCAGTAAGTTAAATAAGGCCATCTCTCTCTTATTTGCTACCATTACTTTCAAAAATTTATCTTAGGAGGGTTTAAAATTTATCTGCATGGCTCATTTTCAGGTTTAATTCAGCAGCTTAATTTGGCCCAACTAGCTCACATAAACAGACAAGCATGAAAATAAAGAGTTTGGTCACTGCTGTCTTGAGCGAATTGGAAAATTTGTTACTAATTTGCAGTAATACCCAGGGATCCTCAGTGAAAGAATAAGAGAATGCTTTCCTAAGCACAATGACACTTGACACATCCCTGCACAGGATAACAAGGAAGAACGGAGTTTCTTAAACTCCATAGCTAAGGTGATCCCCAAATAAGGCAATTTAGTTACCTTGTTGTACACATTGAACCATTCCGGGTGATGATTCATCTTCTCTGCTTGCAGGGCGACTCGGGACATAAAGCCAAATGCCTGCATAAGATGAAACTGAAACTGATTAGTGGCATTGCCCTCTACTCCGGACCTGGGGGGCAGTGGGGGGAGAGAGAGAGAGAGAGAGACCAGAATAATCCAGCCAGATAAAGACAAGGCTAGGATCCTTAGGGAAACCTGGAGAAATCAAATATGAAAAGGATTGCTCTCCACAGAGCTGGGGTAATAACAGTGTAGCAGGACCATGACCTGCTGCTCAATGGTGAAAAACAATCAGGCTCAAATAAACAAACCAGGAAATTGGTCTCACCCAGTGACCTGTCTGGACTGTTTAACTGTCCTCAGGACAAGACTCGCCAAAATAACACAAGAGTAATTTCCCTCCAACCAAGTGCCCTGGATCTCACTACCTGGCCCCAAATCTTAGGGGCTACTTTTCTTGCATCACCACCCCTTTTGTGTTTGGTCGCTGGGGTGCTAACTAAGTCATCAATCCCAAGACTATGGGAAAATATCTTACTGAACGACTTCCCCATCCTAGCTCCCAGACAGGACAGGAGGGGATAAAAGACTTTTTTTTGACATATAGAGTGAAACAGGGAAGTCTGGGTTGCCTGCTCTGGGTCTCCTTGCTATTGCCCAGCAAAGCCACGTGGAACAGAAAGCACTCCTCCCCAGGGCAGGGGGTGGCGGACTCAGACACATGCATAAGTGCAGACCTGTAGGGCTCGGTCTTCATTCCATAGGGAAAGTGCAAACCTAATTTTGCTAAGCAGAGGCAAACTTGTCCTGAGAGGATGAAAAGCTTTTTTTCTTTTGCTTGCTTTACAATTTTTATGAAGGTAATTGCAAACAATAGGAGAGTTTGTCTCTAATGTGTCCAGAAGACAGAAATACTTGGTAAGACTCTAAGGTAATGGTACATTAACTACAAATTTACAGTGGAATTCACAGGGCAGTACCCATTGTAGCCATATAAATAAATATTTAATTTCATTACCCCTATCCAGAAAAACCGATGTGATGGTAGTTGAGCTATGTTTTTTGGATCACCAAATTAGAGCACATTTCCAAGTTAAGAGGGGGAAGTAGGGAAGATGCCATTTTAAATCATTCTATGTTATTCATAATGGTTAGTATGTCAGAATGATTTTATTCAGGATAAAAACTCCCATTTTGGTCTTTAATTAAAGGCCTGAAGGTTTTTCCCTGTCAGGAAAAGGAAGAACATTCAAGCAAAATCCATTTAACCATGTATGGAATTATCAGTGGAAAACAATATTCATTCTCCCCTTCCTCTTCTCATCTCATAATCTGATTCTCTAGATTGTGTCAAATGTGAAAGTCTTTTAATTATTCAGAGTTAAACTGCATTAAACAATGTATAATGAGAATATCTTAGTCTATTTTAGACTACCAAAAAAGTTAATCACAATCCCTGAGAAATAGTAATATAGTCATTACGGGCATAGGCTTTTGAGCCAGGGAGGCCTGAATTCAAATTCCCAACATACAACCTGTCATGTGAGCCTCAGTTATCTGATCAGTAAACTGAGGATAATAATAAAAAGTTCATGGAGTCATCCTAATAAAAAATGAGATAGGGGATTTCACTTAGCACAGCACTTGGCACTGGATAAGAGGTCAGTAATGGCCGACACCACTACCACACATCACTCTGGCGAGACCACGTATGACCCTCACAGAATGTAAAATAGGTGAAAAGCCCTCCCACAGCCTTAAAAATCTAAGATCCCAGTAGCTGTCTCCCAGAAGAATGGTGCTTTCCTATTCCACATGCCGTAAACGGAGACTCAAACCCACACACCAGACAAACAGATCACATACTACAGGGTAACAACCTGATGCGCACTGCCCAAGGAAAACACAATCTGACAAGATATTAGGTGGGCAAAGTCAGTCCCTACCCAAGTTCTTAAGCCCTGTGGCCACAATTTCTTTGAACTATGCTATCTTAAAGGTCCAAAGTGATGCTTAGCATCCCTTACTATTTCCCAAGAACCAAGTGGATCAAGGGGATGATTTGAACACAGTCAGAAGTACTCCTCAAATCTTTGATTACCAGCATGCTATCAGCATGGTAGCAAAATCTACTCTATCACAGACACAGCTTAAAAGAAAACACCCCTTGGAGTGCCTGGGTGGCTCAGTCGATTAAGCATCCAACTCTTGATCTCAGCTCAGGTCTCAATCTTTCGGTCCTGAGTTCGAGCCCTGCAATGGGCTCCACACTGGGCGTGGAGCCTACATAGAGAGAGAGAACACCCACATTCTAAGAGTTACATTGATCAAAGAAAAACCCTGGGGCGCCTGGATGCCTCAGTCGGTTAAACGTCTGCCTTCTGCTCAGGTCATGATCCCAGGGTACCGGGATCAAGCCCCACATGGGCTCTCTGCTCTCAAGCCTACCTCTCCTCTCCCTCTGCCTCCCACTCTGCCTACTTGTGTACCCACTCTCTCTCTCAAATAAATAAAATCTTAAAAAAAAAAAACCTTCTATCATATCTGCATACAGTATAAAAAGAAAAACAAAGGACACTTCCAAAGATCCTCCAAACTTATGTATTCCTTAGCTTTACATATTTCCCTTCAACTGTCACCTAATATTTGCATTTAATAAAATATCATAAGCTTGATAAACCATTTACACAGGATCTACTCCTAATTCTTCCCAAGGGAAGGAACACTTGCTCCTGCCCTGGGAGCAAGGAGACAATTTCATAATCCTTTTTCCATATAACAGAACCAAATAATCCCCAAAATATTTATTTTTAAATCCACAAATTAAAAACATTCACAACAATACACATTCAAATTAAAGTAAAAGGATTTCTGCAAGGAAGTGAAATGAGTGGACAGGAGAGGAAAAAAACCAAACCTCAAAAGGGAACTTTGATTATCTGGCTTTAATAAAAAAGGAATATGACTGAACAGCAAAATGGGCAGATGGTGAAAAGCATCTGTCCCTTCCTTCTAAGATTTCTTTTTTACAGCCCTAGCTAGTTTTTCCCAGGATGCCAGTTGGAGCCTACAGGCCTTGAGCTAGGTAAGAGTCCAGGCTTTCTAAAACTATTCCATCAATGAAAACTGCAGAGTGTGAGGCAGAATGCACACCACTAACAATACAGTGAGGAGCTGAGAGGACAGGACTAAGAAAATGGACAAAATGAAGTAGAAGTCAGCAAGAATTTGTAACAATTAGAAAATAAGTACATATTGCTTCTCGGCCTTTTGGCTAAGATCAAGTGTAGAAAATAAGTACGGAACACAAAGGAGATCTAACAGATAACTTTTGTGAATAAGACAACAACAAACAAACAAACACAGAAAGAAATGAGAGATGTAATTCAAAAAATTTTTCCAGAAATAAAATATTTAAATTTATAGATTGGAAGAATTCAACCATTTCTAGACATCCTAATGAAGTTAATGAATTTGAAGATTAAAAAATCCTTTGGCATCTAGCCAAAAAGATCAATTCGCCTGTAAGGATGAAAATAATCTGGCTGACTTCAAACTTCCACCTACCAGCATTGAACAAAAGAAGTCAGAGGAGCAATGCCTATAAAGGCTTTAGGAAATCAAAAGGCAAAGAATTTTATACCCAGCTAAACTGTTGTTCCAAATTAATACAAGAGACCTAATTTTTAAAAGACGTTAACTCAGGGAATAACTCCCCTTCACCCTTTCTGAGGAAACTTTTATTAAAGGATGAAATACAAGTAACTAGAGAAGGATGGAGAAACAATATAAAAGTTATCAGCAGTGAGCAACTAATTCGCTCACGTCTAGGAATAAATTTAAAACAATTTTGGGGATTGTAGTCACAGAATGGAATGTAAATATTATAAACTATTAAAAGATGTGGAAGAAAAGGAGGAGAAATGGGGAAGGTAGATGAAAGTTTAAAAATTCTAAAAGCTGCAAGATCAGAAGCATAAAACTAAGCACTAGAAACAAAAAATAAAATGTAACAAAACTGCATGGTGTAGGGAAAGTAAGAGAAAGTAGAAGTTTAATTTTGATATTGCTTAGTGGAGAGACTACTATCTAAAGAAATGCTATCTAAAGAAACAGAGGATTAAGTTTGCTATGTAAAATTATAGGTATAACAGTATCCACAAGAAGAACAAAAATAATAATAGAAACATTCACAATTAGGTTCAAGGAAAGCACAAGTAAAGTGAAGCAAACAAAACACAATCCAGGGCACCTGGGTGATTCAGTCAGCTCAGGTCACGATCCCAGGGTCCTGGGATCGAGCCCCTTATCGGGGCCCCCTGCTTAGTGGGTACTCTGCCTCTCCCTCTGCCCCTCCACCTCCCCCTGCTCGTGTCCTCTCTCTCTAAGTGAATAAATTTTAAAAATCTAAAAAAAAAATAAAACACAATCCATGTCATAATTCAAATTAAGGGAGGAAAAAAAGTATATTGGTTCTGTCATGTTTTACAAGACCAAACATCTTTCCAATCAATAAATGTAAAGAGCCATAATCCAACCAATTAAAAGAAGAGAAAACTTGGGGCGCCTGGCTGGCCCAGTTGGTAGAGCATGCAACTCTTGATCTCAGGGTTGAGAGTTCGAGCCCCATCTTGGGTGTGGAGATTACTTAAATAAATAAAACTTTAAAGAAAAAAAAAGAAGAGGAAGCTTTACATGGATCACAAAGCAAAACTCAACTGTTGGAAATAAAAGGACACAGGCAAATGTAAAAAAAAAAAAAACTTAACTTATAAACGTATGTCCATAATGAAGATTGAATAATTTTGAGTACCTATACTACAAGTAACACAGCCTCAAAATCAATGAGGCAGAAATGACAGGAAATACAAGACCAACAGAAACGTCCATAGTGGAAACTTTAATTTCCATTTCTTAACCCATGGTACAGTAACCACACAAAATCAAGGATATGGACTACTTAAACACATCATTTAAAAGGTAGATCTAATTAATATACTTTAAACTCTAAACAATGAGAATATATCTTTTAAAGTGTCTACTCACCATTCACAGAA